CAGAGAGGCGGAGATGGTTGTCACACAGTGGTTCCAATCCCAGGCGGCAGACTTCTACGACACAGGTATTCAAAAGTTGGTCCCACGGTATGACAAATTTCTCAATTCCGGTGGCGAATATGTTGAAAAATAGCTGGACACTTGCTGTATCTGTTGCAATAAATATTTCCATGAAATTGTGTTTTGTTTCTGTAAACGGCCCCAGGGAAACTTATTTTGTGGACGAGCCTCGTACGTTTCAGATAATCCTGTCTCATACTAAATCATTCTTCAAAGGAAGGGAGTCCATTTGTTTTAAGTATAATATGAAATGAGACTAACATTTATTAGTTTCAACCATGCTAAAGATGTCCCATGTCACCACACCATGACAGTCCTCATGAAACAGGATAAGGTTAGAGAAAACAGACACCATGCTCATGTTCTGACAGAAGAGAGCATTCAAGTATGCTTGATAAATAAGGGAGTGAAATCAATCTTGTATGACTGAGATGTGCGTAGTTCTGCTATTATGGAGAGAAAGAAAGAAGAAAGAGGGGATATGGGGACTGTTTTGCAAAGTGGCAGCCAACTATGAAAGTATCGGAATGGTTTGGAGATTGATTCAAAGATGTTTTCACTGAGAACAAGGTCCTACCTCCCCCCCCTCCCTCAAAAGCAATGGGTATATTAGTAAATACGAATGGCAGAAGCTGGAAATCTAGAGCAATACATGCAAATGAATTGGCTCTAGTTCCAAAAGTTGGTTGTGAATGTATGACATAAGAAAACGTATTTTAACATTATTTTACAAGATATTTTTTAATACATGCTACAATTGAAAAAGATTTACCAAAAAAAAGGGGGTCTAAAAAAATCCCTGTTCTATGAAGATGCTTGCCAGACATCAACTTTAGTTCAGAAGTGTCCTACTGTGACACATGGTCAATAGAAGTTAAATGGCAATTTTAAAACATACCTGTAATAAGAAAAGAGTCCTACAGCCATATAAAAATTGATAAACCTCTTTCATTTCATTACAATAAATCATAAACTTCAACTCAACTAATAGTTTACAATATCAACAATAAAAAAATCACACAAAGCGAAGTACATACCTATCTTTACCTGGTGGCACGGGTAAAGCATCAGCATTGCCGAAACATTTTCTACTATTGTGTTTAATGCTTCTGGTGGCTGTGATACATTCTTCACGCTGCTGTGCTGCTAATGAAACTTCAGGTTCCTCACAAGGTTCACACTCATAGAGCAGAATGTATGCATTAGTTTCTAAAACTTCTGACACTGACATGTGATACACTAACTTGTCATCAAACTCAAAGTAATGACCGGCACACATTCCTGCCACTGCAGTATAGTGTCCAGATTTGACTGATAAACCAATGTGTGTAACCATAGAAACTAGACTGTATATAAGTGGTTCTGATCTACGTTGAGCTGAAGAAGGACAAAGCAACCTTGTAATATCCAGTCGTTCTGAA